ATTCTTTGATTTGGAAGTCCGATTTCTAACAAACTGATTCTTGCCTCTAGTATAATCCCTTGGAGAGCTGTGCGACATCGAATAATACCAATCGCCATAGGGCATACTCGTCCGGGTATAATACCAAAAATCAGGATCTTCATTTCTTCTTGGAATTTTTGCACCTTCCCTCCACTTGTGATGTTCACCAATGGTCCCTAGAGTGATCTTGGACCTGTTTGAGCTCAGAATAAACCTAATCTAAACAATTTACAAACATTTTACAAACTAAACCATTACACCAAAAGTGTGTAATTTCCAGAGTAACAATCACTCAAAACTAATCAAAAACACAAATATAAACATGGAAATTACATGAATGTCAACTCCCCCACACTTAGTTTCTTTACTCGACCTCGAGTAAAACCAAATGTTTACACAATGTTTATCACAAGATCATAAGTTCATAGATAGGAAGAAATAAGAAACTAAAACCACCAAGTATTGTAAATGAGTTTACAAAACAACATTTCCTTGGGTTTAATGGTCTTCTATGCTCCTTTCTTGAATAACACACAACAAAAACAAAAGACTTTGTTTTTTGACAATGAATAAACTAACCATGGCCTATCATATCTTTCCCTGTTTCCCAAACAATGAGTAGAGAATTTGTCATTGAAACTGCACTTCTTATCAATAGGATACTCAAGCCCTTTTATTCTAATATGACCTCTCTCAATTAACAAATCTATTTGTTTTTGAGATATAGGTGCTTTCCAACTTCTTGGATCAAATAAATTATCTGAGTTCAACAAAGTAGAGATATCATCTATAATCCCTTTCTCACTATTTGGATTCTCAGCCCTAACATGCTCATTCTCATTACCATCATTTACATTGTCATTTTCATTCACAATATTTGCCTTCTCATTTGTATCGCCTACAATTGTGTCATTACTCTGACAATTTACATCCTCACGCTCATCCTCAAACACAGCATTTATAGCCTCATTCTCAACTATATTTGAGGGAGACACTTTTTTGCTTATGTACTTATCCATAGAACCGGCAAACGATTTTATGACCATGTCCTTTCTTAATTTATTCTTTCTCTTTGTATATCCCGAGTCATGTTTTCGTTTTCCCACAAACCTACAATTTCATACAATCTCCAACTAGATAGAGTTTTTCTAACTTTCAATAATATCACATATGAATATACAGTAAGTTTTAATAACTAAATTGAGTTATTATTATTTGATATATATACTAAAATAGAATGATACAACAAATAAATAGCCCAGGCCCCATTACAGTACTACCCACTACCCAAGGACCCTAACTGACTAACTATTAAAAAAGTAGCAATTGAAAAACTTAAAAAAAGCTAAACTAAAAGATTACAAGCCAAGTGGACAACACCTAATCAAGTACTACCTCCGTTCTTTTTTAATTGCAACATTGGACTTTTTTTCACTATTCACATATTCTACTTTGACTATATTTTATTAATCAATGTATTATAAATTAAATTTTTTAAAAATATTATTAAATTCTTCTTATTCTGAATTTTCAAAATATGATTTTTTAAAATTTTTATCTAATAAGAAATGAAAGATATTAATATTCAAACTTGTGCGTTGGCAAACGTGAAATGTTGACTGTTGCAATTAAAAGGGAACGGAGGAAGTAAATCATAAAATCCAACAACTCTCTAAAACCAATAATTGAACTTAGTTACTTAGACAGAAAGATAAAAACGAGAAGGCAAAAAGACATTACGGCATAAGTTGAAAAGCTTACCTTTAGCCGCACTGCCGCAGTGCCGGTCTGCCGAAAACCTCTATACGGTTGAGTTGAGAAGCGGCCTGCAATTGCAAATAGTACAACAAAGAATCAGTCGGCGGAATTGAGAAGGACGATTGCGGACTGCGAGAACCGAGAAGCGAAGGGGCAGAACTGCGAAAGGATCGAACTCTGAAATCGGGGAATCTCGGAATTCACAAGGGGTGGGCCGCGTGACTCCCTAGTCCGCAAGTTTTTTTATTTTTAGATTTGGGAAATTTTATTATTAGTTTACATTATACATTAATATACTTATAACACTAATGGGCTTACACAGGGCGACCGTCCCCTTGGATTTTCAAAATTTTCTACCATATATGTAATATTTTCATAGAACTTTCATAATTTAATTAGATTCGCTCCCCTTAGCTTTTAATTTTCAAAATTAATATATAGTCTTACATTATGTAATAGTTAATTGGAGATTTGAAAGAAGTAACATCTAAAATAATTTACATAGCTTAAACAAATAAACAATAGAATAACTCGTTGTTTAAGATTTGGGATACTTATTATATAAAAATTCCTAGTTTTGTAATGTTTAATTATCTTTATTAGATAACAAGTACTGGATTTTGTAAAATATATATCAAATGATATTAAATATCAGACACACTAATTACACAGTATTTAGATCAAGTGAAATGATCCAAAATATAAATGTTTATTGAAATTAAAGTACATAATTTGTTTATTTCTTGCTTTCTAAAAAATAATTTATTGCATAGATAATAAACTTTAAATTATTATAGCATTAATAAAAATATTAAAATATAATATGTACCATATATATAATATGTGGTGCATATTATCTAAAAATAATAATCCCATAAATATTACTATTGTAATATTAAGAAAACTTCTCATGAGTCATGACTCACGAACACCCTCCTTGGTAGACAAAAATTACAATTCAATAACCGATTCATGAGGTTAAACAATGTAGAAGTTATTTAAAATGTATTGGTTGATGTCTTTGTCATTGTCTAAACTTAGAATGTAATAGATTTAAATATCGTTGGGAATGTGTATGTATTAATGTCATTTTTTGAATTAAAATAGTCGCATAGCCCTACAACACCGAAAAAATTCGCCCCACTACACTATGGAAATAAAATTCGCGCCGCTACATTAACGAAAAATTTTTCGCCATCTACACTAACGAAAAATTTCGCCCCCCTTGAGTCAATTTCCTGGATCCGTCCCTGGGCTTACATAAAAAATTGGAGGCCCATCTAAATTTGGAGGCCCTAGATAAGTGTCTAGGTGACATGCCCCTATCACCGGCCCTGATTATATTTTAATGTCCCGTGCATCGGAAATTAAAATACAAATAATTTACTCCTCATTACGTTTTAGGGAAAATATCACAAATAGGCTCAAAAGGGAAAGACATATCACTTTTATCACTGTTTAATTTTTCTTTCAAAATTATATTAGATAACTTTTTCTTTTCATAAATGGACCATCTGTCCGTATACCCATCCACTGGAACCCAAGTGCACATCGACATCCCTGATTATCCCTTTGATTAGATCATACGAGTACTCCGTATGACTCAAACTAATCTCCAGCTCCCATGTTCACTTAATTTTGTTTTTTTTTTATAGAAAAAATTGTACAACTGTAGGGAAATTAAAGAAAAAGTCGAAAATAAATTTAAAATAATAGGGAGTAAGTTTTGTAATTTTATTTTTTAGAAGCGTTTTGTACTCCATAATTTACTAAATGAAATTTAAAAAAAATGAATAAAGCAAAATAAATAAATATAAAATCATAAAAAGGTAAAAAAACATAAGCATGCGCAAAAATTAAAAAAAAATGGAAATTAAACTTCTTTATCATAAAAGAGCGATTGTTATATTAAAATCGAGAACACAAACAAGAAAATCTTCACACATTATTTACAGATTCCATCGTGAACCCTAGGAGAAGACTAAAAGTCACCCACCGCATACAAAGCTGCATGACTCGGAAAATGACCGGAAACGACTCTGCCTATCAAAAGAACTCCAAACTCCAACATTCAAACCAAATCTACTCGGACTAAATTTGCTAAATTACACTTTAGAAATGAGATTCTGAAAGTTACACAAAGTAAAAGAAAAAAATTAAAATATTAAAAAACATGAAAACGGTTTAAAAAAGTTAGAACGAGTGAAAGTTTTAGAATAAAAACTAGTTAAAATAATAAAAATTCAAATAAATATATAAAAGTGTAAAAAATGAGCAAATAAAAAATTTAAATTAAAACTTATAGAAAAAAATACATTACATATTTTTTCTTGTAAAATATATATAATAAAATTATGAAAATATAAGAAAATTAATGTAACTCCAAAGTGTGTAAATTTAAAATAAACTCAAACTATTAAAATATCAAAAATTAAAACGATGAACTAAAAAAATAATTACATATTCAACAAAAATAAAAATACGGATTTTTTAATGTAATTTTTCTTTAAGCACGTAAATTTTTTAATTATTAGTATTATCACTTTACTGTTACTTTTTGTTTCTTACAATTTCTTTGTGTTTCTTTTTGTTGATAATTCTGAAATTTTTGAGCTTTATGAGATTATGAATTTAAAGAATTTGAATTATGAGATTTAAGAACATAAAAAAATCTCAAATTTATATATAAAGTTTAAAAGAATTTAGAAAATTTAAAATTATTTTAAAAATACAATAAATATAGAAAATAATATTCCTTGAATTTTTAAAAATTAGAAAACTATAATAAATTATAATTATAGGCATGTAAAAAATAAAAATGCAGAACATATAAAGTATTGTTATTAGATTATTAACATTTATTTATTACTTTTGTTTTGTTGCATTTTGTTTCTTTTTGTTTCTCTGTGTTGATAACCTTAATTATTTTTGTTTTTATTGTTTCTTCATGTTTCTTTGTGCTTATTCATAAATCCAATTTTATTATTTCAAATGTTTTTGCATATAACATATATGATTTTCATTCCAAGTTATTAATGAAAATAAATATAAATGTATATATATAGCAAACAAATATCAAAATCAATAATAAAGAATAATAAGCAAAATGAGACAACAAATTGCAACACAATACAACCAAATGCAACACAATGCAACAAAAAGCAACACATGTGGTGCAACAAAGAGAAACAAAGACAAGATATAAACATTACACAAAATATGTACAATTCAGTTTTGTTATTATAATATACAATATTACATTTATCTATTACATTTATCAGTTTTGGTTTTCCCCGCTTTAACACACAGTTTATCATATTTGCCTCTTCTATCTCTATTTCCCATGTCAATCTTCCCATCCATACATGTTCCTGTACTTCTTTTTTATTATGTGCCTGCAATGGGGGAATGCAATCACTATGACACAAATTCCAAATAAATTATTCAAATAAATAACAAATGCACAAAAGACATTCAAAACCAGAAGGTAACAAAAGAATGAAATTGAACATTAATTCAATCAATATGTGAATAATAATTCAGAGGCATAAATAAGCTTTTCTAAATAAGCTTTGAAACCAAATGTATGAATCATTAAAAGTAGAGAACTCCATATATCAATTTCTGTAGAATACATCACTTTCTAGACCAAATAACAGGACCAAATAACATCCAAAAATAGCAGTTGGCTCTAATTCTTAGCTGAATAATGATGCTTACAAGAATTGAAAATCGCAAAAGGAATGCTTATAACATATGATCTTATAACATTTCAAACACAATAACAACACCAAAACCTTAATCCAACATAAATTGGGTCAGCTGTAAAAGGTCAGTGGTGATACTAATCAAATATCATCCTTTGAGCTCTAATTAAATCTCTATACTCAGACAATCAGTGTTAGACACTGCTTATATCAGTCATGTACATCATTTGACACCGAACAAAAATTAAATCCAACCGTAAACAAATTGTGATTTTTAAAACAATTGATCTCAAATGAAGATGTATTCGAAAATGAATTAAAAAGCAAACTAAGAATGATTAACCTAAGAGACTTCATCTTGAGGTTTCCATAAAAAAAGTTCAATTGCCGCTGATGACACATGAGCCACATACAAACAACGCATCATCAATTTCATAGAAACATCAAATCCGTTTCAAATAACAAAAGTATATGTAAACATATCCACATAAATAAATTATGGATAAACAAATACAATCGATTATACTTGTAAGTTAGCTACCAAATAGATTTAAGTGAAAGTAAAATTATGAAAATCTCAAACAAATACCTGCAAATCAGAAAACAGCAGGTCAGGCCGCGATCCAACATGTAGGAGAGAAGATGAGCAATCAGGGATGACGGGCGGAGTGCGGAGCCGCAGAGGACGGCGGATTGCCGAGCCACCGAGGAAGAATGGCGGAGTGTGAAGCCACATAGGACGAACGGCGGAGCCGCAAAGGACGAACGGCGGAGTGAGGAGCCGCACAGGACGAACAACACAGTACGGAAGGCGGAGCAGCGAAAGCCGAGGTAGAAGACGGCGCTGGGAAGAAAGAGCCTGAACAACCGCACACGCCACAATTCTTCGGTTCGGCCATTGTGAGGAAGGACGGGAAGATATGAGGCTAATCGTGCTATCAACAGAGGATTAGGTTATTTTTGAAACATAAAAGTTAAATTTGAAAAGCTAAAAGTTTATAAATGAAAAGTAAATTATGAGGAGACATAATTGAAATGCGATTAGAAAAATTAGACCTGACGGGATATTTCCACTACATTTTAATGTCCCGTGCATAGGAAATTAAAATACAAATAATTTACTACTACTCCGTACAAAAGAAGGACAAAGAGGAACGGAAAAGCTGTTCAACCACACGTGCTGAGTTTTCCTAGTGACAGACTGCCGCTTCCATTGAAGCAGTGACTTTGGAGTTTGTTGATGCGAAAATGAGGTCTGCAATTTCTCGCATGGCGACATTTCCTGCTAGCTGCCGCAACCTCTTTCTTTTTCGCTCGGCCTCAGCTCCCATGCCAGTCAGATTTGCTCGAACGGTAAATTTCCCATTTTCGCTTGCTTTCCAATACTAAACCAGGATGAATAAGTAGATTGATCATTGTAATCGGTATTCGGTGATATCTTTTCTCTTTCTCTTCTGTTTGATTGTTTTGCGTACTACAAACTGTACTTTATTTCTTCAAACTCGGATGATTTATATTGCAACTGATGATGATAGATTGTGGACTGTACAATTCAGTCAAATTTATTATTTGTAATCCCCGATTAGCATTTATTCACCGCATTTATGCATGATTTCTAATTCCCTTTTTTGCTAGGAGCTGATGTTCATGTTTCAACTTTGACTTTTAATTATTCAAAAATCACATTAGAACACTAAAATAATTTTGGATAGTTATATTTTAATGGAATATATATTACTGAAATGTTAATTTATTACAGTGTACTTTATAAGTATATCATCTTAAGTACTAACGGTCAAACGGTGACTTTAAAGACCTTCAAAGTCAAACTTTGCATCTAAGCTCTAATGTATTGTTTTATCATTTTAGGGTAAAATGCTTAGATGGTACAGCCAATTATTTTATATGTACCATTTTGGTACCAAAACTCCTTACTGTACCCCATTCGTACCCCATGAATGAGAAATGTTACATTCCTGGCACCAAAATGGAATACAATTAGATACGATGGATCTAACTATCGGAATACACAATATATATTACGTTGGGTCAAAGGAACACAAACTTGTGGAATTTTGTCCTTTTTGTGTTATAATTTTTGACATGCCATCTTTTACTAAACACCCTTAAAGACTTTTAACCAAACACCTTTTAAGACAAAGAAGTCATCACATTGCAAACATACTTTCTCATCATTGCATTAGTGTAAACTCACATGGCGTCTCACTTTGTCATGCTACTATCAATTCAGTCAATTGCCATGGAATGTAACACTTTTTCATGAGTTGAGGGCACCATTGAGATGAATGAATCACTTGAGGTCTAAGTTACTAAATTGTTACTCAGTTTATGAGCGATTATTTGGAGGCACTTGTTCACTACTCGGAATTTCATTAGTAAATAGTATTATAGTCTTGGTGATCCTTATTTAGGAAGGAAGCATTGGTGGTCCTATTTGTGGACTTGACCCATGTTTTAGTCTTATTTAAGGGATTAACTCTATTATTATCAACTCCTAAATTCTCACCTCCAATGATGTGATCATTATGGATCGTTTCATTTCGGTAGTTAAATCATTCTTCTCCTCTGAATTCTCATTTTGAGGATATTCAGATTGACTTCCTTACCCAAACAAACTTTTCCATTGAACCATTTTTACTTAGCGCCGCTTTCTCTAATTTTTTCCTCTTTTCTTTATCCTATCCAGATTCGATCATTTTTATTACACCTTAAAATTAATTAAACTTATGAATTTAATTATAATTTAAATTTTTTGTTTGATAAAGTCAATAAATTATAACACCAACACTCGATAGATAACAATTAACAATTAAGAAATCAAACAAGAAATTATGAATAAAAACAATTAATATACTAATTAAATAATGATATGAGACTAATTTGCTTCAAAGTCAATTGTTTTTTTGAAATTTATGAGCATGTTATTTTAAAATCAAATTTTGCTTATGTCCTCAAACTTTTAGCTTCAAATTCAATCGGTTTGTCAGTGAAATAAATTATTGAAAAACACTGCGCCTAAATATGCATAAAAAGTGCAGTGTTTTTGAATAATTTATTTAACGGACTTACAGATTGAGTTTTAAATTGAAACTTGTTGGACATAATCTACACATCATAAATAACATGTTCATAAATTTTCATAAAATAATTACACCTGAAAGCACATAAAAAAAATTTCACCCGAAAAATATTAGTTTACTGTTGAAAACTCAGCCTACTCACACCTATTATAAAGAACTACTTGGGCCTAATTTTTTTTCCATTTTTTGGGCCTAGGGACGTTGCACCTCGCCCCCTAGGGCCGCCCCTGATAATAATCACCAAATAGTTGTGATACCATTTAGGCGTTTCCCCTCCTAATTCACATTTTAGATTTGCTACTTGTTCATTCCATAGAGAAATGAACATGAAGGCTAAAGCTTAACTAAATAGAAAATTATGGAATAGACTTCAAAATTATGGAAAATTATGTTCTTATGTTATTTTTATCTTCTAGCTTTTTTATGCTCTTTTACTTTTCTTTATCTTTTTTTTTTTATCTTTCTTATGTTATTGTTATCTTATATATATTTATCTTTTTCTTATCCGTTTTATCTTACTCTTTCTTTTTTTCCTTTTTTTCTTGTCCGTCTTCTCTTTTTGGCACTGATATCATGGATCGATTCATGTTAGCCGACCCCAAAATCTTTTGGGATTAAGGCTTGGATGTTGTTGTTGTACTTAAAAGCATATGTCATGGGAGACTGAAGTATAATATAACAAGTGGTGTGAATGTGTGATATATGTATGTCATGGGAGACTGGAGTATAATTTGCAATCCTAAGTATAATCAGCACCTATATATTTTACTGAAGAGTACCATCAACAATTATACCATATGTAATAATGTGTTTTTGTTTTATTTTTATGAAAGCAACTAATTTCAGTAGAGTTTGAAATCTAAATAAACTTTATGGCTAGGTGAGTACTGAAGCATCGAGTGTTGCTGCTTGCCTGGATAAATCTGGATTGTTGAAAAGTCAAGCCCTTATAGGAGGGAAATGGGTTGATGCTTATGACGGAAAGACCATAAAGGTTCGTACTCTTGTATTTTTACATAGGTACAGGAAAAAGAAAAACATGCAAAAAGATAAATATTAGGATCGACTCGATCGATCAATTCTACATTTTGACATCTGGATCTCTATATTCGTTCGAGAACATGTTAATCAATGTGGCAGGTTTACAATCCTGCAACAGGGGAGGTAATAACTGAGGTCCCATTCATGGGGTGTAAAGAGACTAATGATGCCATCACTTCAGCATCCAATGCATTTTGTTGTAAGGGTTTTGTTATTTTTTGTGATTCCTCCATTGTTTCTCTTTTTGTAATATACTAATATGCGACACAAGTCAACCTGGCCTAGATTTGGCAGTTCAAACATCTCCAGATCTGTAATTTTGCTGAAATCCACTTTTTTAATATATGCTTTTAAATGGTAGCTCATTAAGCTTAGTCTAGTATTTTCGAACCCCATGCCTACTTGTTCTCGCATCTACCATGTACTGGTTTGATACTTTGACCTAATATATTCAATGTTTATTGCTGAAGCGTGGAGACAATTCACTGCTGCTGAAAGGAGTAAATGCTTACGGAAATGGTATGACATATGATAAGGCTGTGTAGAAGTTATTCATTTTCTGGCTTTTAATACAAAATTATGCTCTTTCTATTTGTCCTTAAATTTTTTACACTTTTGAAGATAAAAGTGAACATAAAATTGTTTTGATTGGTGTAAGTGAAGGAAAATAAGAAATTGATGGTTTTGTTACCATTTGACTTTGATTGAATATAATCAACTACAAAAGCTAGTAATGAGATGCTGTCGCACTGTTTCAAAAAACATAAGCAATAACAAACACTTAAAAGCAGCCGAACTTGGGCTATAACGGTCAAATGAGATTGAACTATCGTAGCTTCTTCACATTTTGACCTCGGCTCCTGAAACTGAAATCCAGCCATTATAATTGGCATGATTCTCATGTACTCTCTCTTCTGCTTTTCGTTAGTTTTTTTCTTCTTTCTAATGCGGATGTGAATTCATTCTTCTTCTTAGTTTTCTTTTCATTTTCACTCTTTCAATTTTTATATTGGTTTCTTCTACTAATGGGCTACACAAGGTGTCCAAAGCAACTGCTAGAAATCGTAAAGTAGTAGGAAGAGAGTATGAATTAATGAATATTCTAAAAGTTACAGAATATGGATAAATTATCTGTCTGTATGGACTATGGAGACAAATCTCTCAGCACAAACAGATATTTCTTCCACACCCTTTTCTTTAAGAATTCTTCCACACCTATATCTGATGAAAAGATTATTGATGTGCCAAAGTTTAAATCACAAAAAGTGTAGTGGTACATTACAAAAACTTTCTATTTAGTTTTGAAATGGTTTGGGGCGTTGGGCAACCCTCAATTGGAAGTTGATGAAGATCCTATAAGCCCATTAGCATTAGCTACACGGCCTACACCTAGCATGATACTTGTTCCAAATTCATATCAGAGTGTGCTTGATATACCAATGTTACAAGAGTATACATGCCAGTGTGATGTGAGGGTTTATAAGTAAACGAAAGCAACACCTTTTTTATTTGGAAAGTAAAACTGAAACATTTCAAAAGCATCTTTCTTGGGTCAAAGTTAAGACAAAATTGAAGAGTGCAGGACTGAAATTCACAGTATGGTACCCATTTTTTAATGTGTATCTACTTATCTCGTATCTTCCTT